GCCCGGACTGGCCCCCTGAGAGCCCGGACTGGCCCCCTGAGAGCCCGGACTGGCCCCCTGAGAGCCCTACCAGGCCCAGCCACCCCTTAAACCTCGCACTTTTACTTACAATTAGGCATTGGGCACGATGACCGAGTTAAGCGTGAGTTCGTGTGTTCGGCAACCCCGCAAAGCAATGCGCCTTGTGAAGCCCTGATTGGCTAAAGCCTTGAACCTGACCACAGGTCAGGTGCAAGACTTTGCCCAATCAGGGCCCAGTACTCTGTAAGAGCCATGATTGGGCAAAGTCCTGATCACTTATTAGAGGGCTACCCTGATGTGAATAAGCCCCCTTGCCAGCAGACCCCCACAACCAACGCCCCAGGGCTTGTGAGGAAGAGGCTTTGCCAGGTCCCCCCCCTCATTCCCCCCCCCCCCCTTTCCTTCCCTGCCAGGCCTGTGCTCCCGCTCCATGCTGCCCCTGCAAAAAATAGGCCGGCCCGACACAAATTCATCGACCTGAATCAGCGGACCCGAGATCCCGCACTGTGCGCCAAAGAGCCGCACTGGCCCCCTGAGGGCCCTACCAGCCTCCCCTTAAACCTTGCATAGCTCTCCTGAAACCCTGGAGACATCAGTCCAGGAACCCGGAGCAACACAGAGTATGTAGCTTCATATTATTTTGCATTGCTGTATAATGTATTGCTGGGATTTGTAGTCCTCTATAGCTGGCGATATTCTGCATTGCTGTATAATGTGGTGCTGGGATTTGTAGTCCTCTATAGCTGGCGATATTCTGCATTGCTGTATAATGTGGTGCTGGGATTTGTAGTCCTCTATAGCTGGCGATATTCTGCATTGCTGTATAATGTGGTGCTGGGATTTGTAGTCCTCTATAGCTGGCGATATTCTGCATTGCTGTATAATGTGGTGCTGGGATTTGTAGTCCTCTATAGCTGGCGATATTCTGCATTGCTGTATAATGTGGTGCTGGGATTTGTAGTCCTCTATAGCTGGCGATATTCTGCATTGCTGTATAATGTGGTGCTGGGATTTGTAGTCCTCTATAGCTGGCGATATTCTGCATTGCTGTATAATGTGGTGCTGGGATTTGTAGTCCTCTATAGCTGGCGATATTCTGCATTGCTGTATAATGTGGTGCTGGGATTTGTAGTCCTCTATAGCTGGCGATATTCTGCATTGCTGTATAATGTGGTGCTGGGATTTGTAGTCCTCTATAGCTGGCGATATTCTGCATTGCTGTATAATGTGGTGCTGGGATTTGTAGTCCTCTATAGCTGGCGATATTCTGCATTGCTGTATAATGTGGTGCTGGGATTTGTAGTCCTCTATAGCTGGCGATATTCTGCATTGCTGTATAATGTGGTGCTGGGATTTGTAGTCCTCTATAGCTGGCGATATTCTGCATTGCTGTATAATGTGGTGCTGGGATTTGTAGTCCTCTATAGCTGGCGATATTCTGCATTGCTGTATAATGTGGTGCTGGGATTTGTAGTCCTCTATAGCTGGCGATATTCTGCATTGCTGTATAATGTGGTGCTGGGATTTGTAGTCCTCTATAGCTGGCGATATTCTGCATTGCTGTATAATGTGGTGCTGGGATTTGTAGTCCTCTATAGCTGGCGATATTCTGCATTGCTGTATAATGTGGTGCTGGGATTTGTAGTCCTCTATAGCTGGCGATATTCTGCATTGCTGTATAATGTGGTGCTGGGATTTGTAGTCCTCTATAGCTGGCGATATTCTGCATTGCTGTATAATGTGGTGCTGGGATTTGTAGTCCTCTATAGCTGGCGATATTCTGCATTGCTGTATAATGTGGTGCTGGGATTTGTAGTCCTCTATAGCTGGCGATATTCTGCATTGCTGTATAATGTGGTGCTGGGATTTGTAGTCCTCTATAGCTGGCGATATTCTGCATTGCTGTATAATGTGGTGCTGGGATTTGTAGTCCTCTATAGCTGGCGATATTCTGCATTGCTGTATAATGTGGTGCTGGGATTTGTAGTCCTCTATAGCTGGCGATATTCTGCATTGCTGTATAATGTGGTGCTGGGATTTGTATTCCTCTACAACTTGGAGTCAATGGCAGATCTACCGGGGTCACAGCTGCAACCGGGCCCTGGCGCTCCACCACTGACTCCAAGCTGTAGACAGACTACAAATCACAGCCCAGACAGGAGGACGAGGGCCCCATTACTATAAAAAGGCCACCACAATCCTCAGCACCAGGCCCGTGAAGCTCTTAATCCGGCCCCGCCTGTAATCTGTATCCACCTACAATGCAGCTTTGAGCTAGAAAATGTGACTTCTCCAGGAAGAGTCAATCCCCTAGCCCAGCCCCCTTCCTCTTCATACATCTCCTTTTCTGGGAGTATCCATTTGCTGTCTGTGCTGGCCCAGCTCCTCCACCCCTCCCTTCACTTCCCTATGTAAGCTTTTATGAAGCTCCCATGGGAGGAGTGAAGGGAGATACTATAGATCGGGGGTGGGCAACCTCGGCACTGCAGATGTTGTGAAACTACAAATCCCATGAGGCATTGCAGGACATGGCCAGCCAAAGCCATGACCCCCAGAGGCAGAGGCATGATGGGATTTGTAGTTTCACCCCAGCTGGAGGGTTGAAGTTTGGCTGCCCTTACTATAGAACGGGGGTAGGCAACCTCGACCATCCAGCAATAAGGCAGTGCAAGACTGGCAGCCACAGGTGTAACTTCCAGAGGCATGATGGGATTTCACTCACTTTGGGGGCATTTCATCCCACTTCCTGTTGTCTCTATTGAACAGGAAGTGAAGGGAAATCTCCCCAATGGGAAAACAAAGCTGATAAGTTATAATCCCCTCTTACTCAAGCAGAGCACCTGAATGTGATCTGGTATCAGCCTCTTGCAGTCCCTGTAAACAGAGCTTAAACTGGGAGAGGGAGGAGGAGCCAATCCGTTGTGCTACAGGACTCATGTGCTGACAAGGAACATGCTGATAGGAGGAGAGAGCAAAGTGACAGTGAGATGAGCTCATCAATCTGCTGCTTCTCCTTTCATTGTCCAATCACAGGCTGGGGGAGGGACAAGACAGGTAAGTGAAAGTGAAACTGCAGCAGAGAAAAATCAGGTCTCCTGCCACATAGGGTCGTCCTGTGTGTTGGAGCTGCTTCTACTTTCACAGGTTGGGGGAGGGACAAGACCTGTAGGTGTCGCAGAACTGCAATGGAGACCTGTAACGGTCCTGAATTGCATTGGAGCCAAATCGGGTCCCCTGCCCGGCCAGACAGAGCTGTGCTGTGTGTCAGAGCTGTGTAAATCTCAGGACTGGATGGACGGATATCACAGTTGATATCACATATGTATGCCATCCGTGCATCCAGCTGGCAGTCAGCTCATTATGGGAGAGTCGTGCGTGTGAAGCGCGGCGGTACACAGCAGAGCGCGCTCCCGGCGGGCCCGCTGCACGGGATCAGTGTGCGTCCAACATCTGGAATTGATATGGGAGGTCTGACAGCGGGACGGAGCTGGCTGGGAGTTGACATTGGCAGGGTGTCTGTGTCTGCGCTTCCTGAGTCTTCCCTGCTGGGTCACTCTCTCTCTCTGTGTTTGTCTCTGCCGGTCTCACTTCCTCTTGTGTTTAACCTGCTTCCACAGAGCGGATGTTCGCCGGGGGGCCGGTGCCTGGATTAGGGGTCTGAAGGAGCCGCTCCGGACAGCTGCGTCCCCGCCAAGAGCCGCCCATGGTACAAGATGCTGACCGTCAAGCTGCCCCAGCTGCTGAGCGTGCATCAGATGCCCCGGGTAGGTCTCATCTTAGCTCTGTATCCCTGATTTCTCCTTCCTAGAGATATGCCACCAGCTCCTTCAAGTGTTCTGCTTCATCCCTAAAGTGTATCTACACCCCAAAAACTAACATATAGTATAGTGCAGCTCCCCCGTCCTCAGATGTGGTGACTGCATCCGTTTTCCAGGTTTTTTCCTTTAATTTTCACTTCACCTGGTAACACACTACCTGTCCGAGGGTGACAACCCTGACTGTACTGCAGCTATGAAGAAGCACCGTTGTCACCCTGGGCTGCTCTACTGATTTGTACTACAAACTCCTATCACTCCCCCCCCCACCACCACCTTGTCTCCACTGGCAGCACACATGGAAAGCTTGTTGACGAATTGAAAATAAGTCTTGCATGCATTTTATTTAACATGCATGGCCCCCCTTACCTTAGGAATAGGGCGGAGCTTCGGTTTGAACCTGAGAACCGCTGTACCTGGAAGGAGCACCTCCTCTCTGCTCAATCAGGTAACCCCTCCCACTGCCTAGGGCCACCCAGGTTACTGGGCGGTCCAACCCACTTACCAGAATGGGTTGCCCAAACCCTGCCTCTAATTATGCAGGGACCGCCCACTTACCATAATGGGCTGCCCAATCTCCCTGCGTCTAATTACTCAGGGACCGCCCACTTACCACAACGGACTGCCTAAGCCCTCCCTGGTTTCTGGGAGGTACAGCCCACTTACCAGAATGGGTTGCCCAAACCCTGCCTCTAATTATGCAGGGACCGCCCACTTACCATAATGGGCTGCCCAATCCCTGCCTCTAATTACACAGGGACCGCCCACTTACCAGAATAGACCTGTAGGTGTCGCAGAACTGCAATGGAGACCTGTAACGGTCCTGAATTGCATTGGAGCCAAATCGGGTCCCCTGCCCGGCCAGACAGAGCTGTGCTGTGTGTCAGAGCTGTGTAAATCTCAGGACTGGATGGACGGATATCACAGTTGATATCACATATGTATGCCATCCGTGCATCCAGCTGGCAGTCAGCTCATTATGGGAGAGTCGTGCGTGTGAAGCGCGGCGGTACACAGCAGAGCGCGCTCCCGGCGGGCCCGCTGCACGGGATCAGTGTGCGTCCAACATCTGGAATTGATATGGGAGGTCTGACAGCGGGACGGAGCTGGCTGGGAGTTGACATTGGCAGGGTGTCTGTGTCTGCGCTTCCTGAGTCTTCCCTGCTGGGTCACTCTCTCTCTCTGTGTTTGTCTCTGCCGGTCTCACTTCCTCTTGTGTTTAACCTGCTTCCACAGAGCGGATGTTCGCCGGGGGGCCGGTGCCTGGATTAGGGGTCTGAAGGAGCCGCTCCGGACAGCTGCGTCCCCGCCAAGAGCCGCCCATGGTACAAGATGCTGACCGTCAAGCTGCCCCAGCTGCTGAGCGTGCATCAGATGCCCCGGGTAGGTCTCATCTTAGCTCTGTATCCCTGATTTCTCCTTCCTAGAGATATGCCACCAGCTCCTTCAAGTGTTCTGCTTCATCCCTAAAGTGTATCTACACCCCAAAAACTAACATATAGTATAGTGCAGCTCCCCCGTCCTCAGATGTGGTGACTGCATCCGTTTTCCAGGTTTTTTCCTTTAATTTTCACTTCACCTGGTAACACACTACCTGTCCGAGGGTGACAACCCTGACTGTACTGCAGCTATGAAGAAGCACCGTTGTCACCCTGGGCTGCTCTACTGATTTGTACTACAAACTCCTATCACTCCCCCCCCCACCACCACCTTGTCTCCACTGGCAGCACACATGGAAAGCTTGTTGACGAATTGAAAATAAGTCTTGCATGCATTTTATTTAACATGCATGGCCCCCCTTACCTTAGGAATAGGGCGGAGCTTCGGTTTGAACCTGAGAACCGCTGTACCTGGAAGGAGCACCTCCTCTCTGCTCAATCAGGTAACCCCTCCCACTGCCTAGGGCCACCCAGGTTACTGGGCGGTCCAACCCACTTACCAGAATGGGTTGCCCAAACCCTGCCTCTAATTATGCAGGGACCGCCCACTTACCATAATGGGCTGCCCAATCCCTGCCTCTAATTACACAGGGACCGCCCACTTACCAGAATGGGTTGCCCAAACCCTGCTTCTAATTATGCAGGGACTGCCCACTTACCAGAATGGGTTGCCCAAACCCTGCCTCTAATTACACAGGGACCGCCCACTTACCAGAATGGGTTGCCCAAACCCTGCCTCTAATTATACAGAGACCGCCCACTTACCAGAATGGGCTGCCCAAACCCTGCCTCTAATTATGCAGGAACCGCCCACTTACCAGAATGGGCTGCCTCTAATTATACAGGCAGGGCCGGCCTTAGGCCTTTAGGCGCCCTGTGCGAGAAAGCTTTACAGCGCCCCTCAGTGACCACACCCCTCCGTGGCCACACCCTTTAGTGGCCACACACCCCAGTAACCACACCCATTTATCACCCATATTTTTGGTAAAATATAAAAAGCGGGGTCACGTCGGGTAAATAGACACCAAACATGTCATGCTTTAAAATTGCGCGCACCTGCAAAATTGTAAAAAATTACCATACCCAAAATTGACCATAGTCCAGCGGTGAGGGGGAGAGAAGCTGCCCCCAGGACGAGCTGTGTCGGCCGCACGGCGCCCTTGTTGCCATGGCGCCCTGTGCGGCCGCACTGCTCGCACACCCCTAAGGCCGGCCCTGTATACAGGGACCACCCACTTACAAGAATGGGTTGCCCAAACCCTGCCTCTAATTATGTAGGGATCGCCCACCTACCAGAATGGGCTGCCCAAACCCTGCCTCTAATTATGCAGGGACCGCCCACTTACCAGAATGGGCTGCCTCTAATTATACAGGGACCACCCACTTACAAGAATGGGCTGCCCAAACCCTACATCTAATTATGCAGGGACCGCCCCCTTACCAGAATGGGCTGCCCAAACCCTGCTTCTAATTATGCAGGGACTGCCCACTTATCAGAATGGGCTGCCTCTAATTATGCAGGAACCGCCCCCTTACCAGAATGGGCTGCCCAATCCCTGCCTCTTATTATGCAGCGGCCGCCCACTCATGGCCCTTGCTGGCCGTAATGAATCCTTTTGTGTTACTATTCACGTACGTCGTACAGCAACTCAAATGATGGGGGACGCTGTGATCCCGGGACACGGCATCATCAGGACCGAGGACCATAACCGAGGACTGTCCCGGCACATCCAGGACCGTCGCCATCTGTGGCCGTGTTGTTTGCACCACTTTAATATGTTGCTGTTCTGGACTCACTTCCCTGTTTCTGTCTGTGATATCGCAATATGTTTATATCTCTCTATCTGGTAACCGGCAGAAACAGGAAGCAACAGAAATCTGACGCATGAAGCTCAGAGATATCAAAGTATCACATTATGTCCTGAACACGACATCCCATAATAATAGAATAAGATAAGGACCCATGGACCGGTCACCGGGTATTCATGTTAAGTACATGCATCATGAGTGTAACACTGCCAGGTATTTACCACCTCTCACAGGGATCACATGACTCCCCATGACAATGCCTTCAACTGCTTTTCTCTCCAGGAGGATGGCGCCATCTTTGTTCAGGCAGTTACCGACAGGTCCACTTTAAGGAACGTGTCCTTCTACATCTGGCTCCTGGTAGAGAAACTGATCCCAGATTCCTCTGACCTATGTCAACTGTTTGCAGTCAGCCTAATCCCCCATCATATGTCGTAGGGCTGTGATAGGTCCTCCTATAAAGCTCAGGAACCTTCACAATTTGAGGTCCCCAAAATTTTGGTAAAATGTTGTTGTATCAAATGTCATTGTTTTTTATTTGTAGGATGTACAGCCACCTGATTGAACTTTTTATAGCTGATATGATGAATAACTTTGTCACCGATGATTCTTGTCGATGGCTCAGGTATTTTGGGAAGATGGGATCATGTCCGGGTACCGTCACCCGAAGAGTACCGCCCTGGACTGCCTCCTCAGCTCCTTCCAAATGACCAACGAAACTGTGAACATCTGGACCCACTTCCTCCCAACATGGTGAGCCCAGGAGGCCTGTGCAGGCACTGGTTATGGTGGGTAGAGGTACCCAACTGCTGGGACCAAAGACATGGATGAGTCTAAAGATCTCCCCACACACTGTCATTCGTGGTTGGATGATGATGAGCCGGGTGTTTTCAGTTGGATCAGATTAAAGGAGGGGCAGCCAGACTCTGGCCCTCCAGCTGTGATAAAACTACAAATCCCATAAGGCACTGCAAGACTATGACAGCCACAGACATGACTTTCACAGGCAGATGGTGTATGGGATTTGTAGTTTCACCACAGCTGGAAGGCCGAAGCTTGGCTACCCCTGGGTTAGAGTAATAGGGAATGACGCTGTAATGTTATCGATGAATTAGTAAGTGGTGTCCCAATTCTGTGTGCCCAGGTACTTCCTGTGGAGGTTCCTCCTGCTCTCATACACACTGGATTTTCTCGGGGACCCATACAACTGGCCCCTCCTGGTTTACATGATGCTGATCTGCCTTTACCCCTTCACCTCCAGCTTCGCCCACACCTTCAGTAGTATGTCTGCCCACGCCCGCCATATATGCTACTTCCTGGACTACGGAGCCCTCAGTCTCTACAGCCTGGGTAGGTACCGGACTGGTTCTTATTTATCTTTATTTACTTATTTCATTTTTCTTTACATTTTTTTATTTTATTTACTTATTTCATTCT